AGTCCCAAACTGCTTATGCTTCTAGTTTGGAATGAAGGAAGACAGAGGAGAAACTGTCACTGAAATAGGCTTCCTTTTTGCAAAAAAACAAAATAGTCTACAAAACTTTGTAGAAGTCTTACTGATTATTCTCTCAATATAATGTTACAGAAAATGAGCTACAAGTAAATATACAATGTCAGCAACAATTTTTTAAAGTTTATTAGATATTTTCAAAAACGCACAAGTGACTTTCTTCTTATAAAACTATAAAAACAGAAATAAGTAGCACTCACCGGAGGTCAGGGGTTCAACGTCACCTAAAATACACAGAAATCAGGAAACTATTTTATTCTCAAGCATTCTTTTTAAAATGTTTCAAAAAGAAGTATGAAACGAAGTTTTCTTATCCATTTAAGCCCTCCTTTAAGTTTCAGCTGCATAGGAAAATTTATTTTAAACTTGTGAAAACTGAAGGGACGTTATTTTCATGTATTATTCCGAGGACTCCATTAGAATCATTTCATCTGACCACAGAGATGCCCGAGGAAACTTTAGTCAAAAAACTAGTTGTAAGCAATCAATCTATTTTAGTATGCTTATTAGAATTAGTAGAAATTACCTTTACGTGTTTGCTGTACACCCCTGGTTGACATGACGTATGCAACAGAGGCAGCCGAGGAGGCCAGCGAGCAGGCTGCACCCTCCGACAGCAGACGCAGCACAGACAGCAGGCCGAGGAGAGGAAAGAGGAGAAGTCTCAGCGATTGCCCCTTGGGAAGCCACTAGAGTAGCTCAAGGACTAAAGGTCTGTTGAACCCCACGACTGAGCAGGAAGCCTGGGTGAGGGAAGGGAAGAGGCGGCCGCGGGGGGTGTTGGTGTGCAGGGCGCAGGACAGGGACAGAAAGAACACGACGTGCGTGTTGTTGGTCCGCTGTAGAGGACATTAGCTTTCTTGACCGTGAGAAAACTCTACTCCCTTCCCTGTCATTTCAGCGGGCTCTCGGCGAAAGCGGAGCTTGGTGTGCAAGGCCTCTGTGACCCGCGTCACAGCAACTAAGAAGATAAGGCGCCAGAGGCCTGCGCGGAGGCCTGCCGTGTCTGGGGCAGGGACACTGGGCACCCTCAGCATTGGGTAGATGTTTCCATCCAGCTTCCAAAGGCCCTTCGTTACCCATAAGGCGCTTGGTATAGGTTGAATCATAATGAGCTGTGAAAATGGGGTGGTCCTGGGGGCTGACCCACAGGCTGGCTCTGCCCCTTGTCTGGGGTGCACCTTCCCGGGAGCGTAGCCACCCCCTGGCCTCCAGACGGGCTCTGCGTGGCTGTTGTGCTGAGACTTTGAAGCACCCACGCCACAGGCTCGGGGCGGAGGGCGAGTCTGTTGTAGAACTCCGTGTCCTGGTGCTCCGAGCCTCCTGTCTCTGTCCAGGGTCCCCTGGACACTAATACCTTCAGTGGCCACCTCTTGACGTGCCTGGGAAGTGGGCAAGTCAAAGAGTCACAGGGCTTGTGTCTCTTCCTGACATCTACCTCAAGCCTTTGGTCATGTCCGGAGGCTTCTCTTTAAGCGGGCATGGCCATCCTGCCGCTGTGCTGTTCTGTGGGGCAAGTGGTTTGGGGGCTCCTGCTCCCCCTACAGGAGATCATCCTGCTCTCTGCAGCTCTCATGGCTCACCTGGGACTTCGGCTGCTGCGTGGGGCAGCTGAGGGCTCCGCCTGGCCCTCCTGGCCCTGACCACCTTGAAGGAGGTGCAGCGACGGACGGAAATGACTGGGAACTGATGCTTTGGAAGCCACAGTAGGTGATAAGCAGAGGAACTAGGCAGAGTCAGGGTGAGTTTCCACTCAGCTGCCCCCATCCCTCGGATAAAAGCCCCGTCCTCAGGAGGCCTCCAGCCCCAGGCTACCCCCGGCAGCAGCCTGGGTTGGAGGCGGCCGACCGCCCCGCCAAGGGTGAGTGCTGCCATGGAGAGAATGGACGGTTGAACCTCGCAACATCTGTGCCCCATACTCCTGGAGGGCCACAGGATTATTCATTATGTTCTTGAAAGTAGAAATTAATAGCCATTTTTTAATGCTACAATGAAATGAAACAGACACCAATGACAAAGGTCGAGCAAGAAAATGAATCCCTTATATATCTGCAAATGTACAAATTCATTCTTAAAAACCCATGAGCGCAACAACAAAAAAGGTGCATAACCACAACGGGAGGCTGTTTAGGAAAACAGCAACATGAGAACACTCGTCGTATTTGCCATGGAACTAACGTGTGTAAAGACAAATTTACAGCCTTAAAATATTTTATTAGTTAACAAGGGGAATAAAGAAATTAGCGAAAGCAGGTGAAGGGATGAGAGAAGCAGCACGGATGGTGTTTGGTAGCTCGGGACGGGCCCCTGTGGCGCCACGTGTCCCCGGAGCCGGGGCCTGGCGGGGTGGGCGCCGGGGGACACTCCGGGATTTGACGCGGGCGGGTGACAGGTTTCTGTGCCTCAGAACATCCGAGGAGGAGGATTCACGGAGACAAAGGCCTCTCGGGAAAGCCTGTGTTAACACTGCAAAGTGAGATTCTCTCCCCAGCCCCAGCCCGGGGTCCCCGGCCGCTCGCGAAGAAAGGCCCCGGCAGCGGGTTTGCCAACCGCCCGCAGGCCGGGCGCGGGCCTGGCCGGGCGGGAAGGGCCTCCCGCGCCGCCAGCTTTTCATTTTCGGCCGAGAAACCCTATTTAGGGACTTGGGCAGAGATTTCAAAAGATGCAAATAGTTGTCTACCGGGACATTGTGTTTATTAAAGGAAAATATTGGAAACGATCTCTGTGTCCAAAAACAAGCAGAAATGGCGTTTGCAGCCCACCCCGCCCGCCCGCCGCCTCTGCGGGCCGCGCCCGAGCCTGGGGGCGACCCCCTCGCGGACACCCCGCCCCGGCGGCCAGTCCCGCAGCTGCTCTGGCCGCGAGGTGGACCCCTGCGGCGGCGCGCCCACCCCCGGCACCCATCCCCGGGCGCCCACCCCGGCGCCCACCCCCGGCACCCACCCCCCGGGCGCCCACCCCCGCACCCACCCCCCGGGCGCCCACCCCCGGCACCCACCCCGGGCGCCCACCCCGGGCACCCACCCCCCCGGGCGCCCACCCCCGGCCGCCCACCCCCGGCCGCCCACCCCCGGGCGCCCACCCCGGGCGCCCACCCCCGGCACCCACCCCCCGGGCGCCCACCCCCGGGCGCCCACCCCCGGCACCCACCCCGGGCGCCCACCCCGGGCACCCCCCCCCGGGCGCCCACCCCCGGCACCCACCCCCGGCACCCACCCCCGGCACCCACCCCCGGCGCCCACCCCGGGCGCCCACCCCCGGGCGCCCACCCCCGGCACCCCCCCCGCACCCACCCCCGGGCGCCCCCCCCCGGCACCCACCCCCGGGCCGCCCACCCCGGGCACCCACCCCCGGGCGCCCACCCCGGCCGCCCACCCCCGGCCGCCCACCCCCGGCACCCACCCCGGGCCGCCCACCCCCGGCACCCAACCCCGGGAACCCACCCCCGGCACCCACCCCCGGCCGCCCACCCCGGGCCGCCCACCCCCGGCCGCCCACCCCCGGGCGCCCACCCCCGGCGCCCACCCCCGGCCGCCCACCCCCGGCCGCCCACCCCCGGGCGCCCACCCCGGGCGCCCACCCCCGGGCGCCCACCCCGGGCGCCCACCCCCGGCACCCACCCCCGGGCACCCACCCCCGGGCGCCCACCCCCGGCACCCACCCCGGGCCGCCCACCCCGGGCACCCACCCCCCGGGCGCCCACCCCGGCACCCACCCCGGCACCCACCCCCGGCCGCCCACCCCCGGCACCCACCCCGGCCGCCCACCCCCGGCACCCAACCCGGGAACCCACCCCCGGCACCCACCCCCGGCACCCACCCCCGGGCGCCCACCCCCGGCACCCACCCCCGGGCGCCCACCCCCGGGCGCCCACCCCCGGCACCCACCCCCCGGCGCCCACCCCCGGGCGCCCACCCCCGGCACCCACCCCCGGCCGCCCACCCCGGGCGCCCACCCCCGGCACCCACCCCCGGCACCCACCCCCGGCACCCACCCCGGCACCCACCCCGGCGCGCCCCCCCGGGCGCCCACCCCGGGCACCCCCCCCCCCCCCACCCCACCCCGGCGCCCACCCCCGACCACCCCCGGGCCGCCCACCCCGGGCAACCCCCCGGGCCGCCCGGCCCCACCCCGGGCACCCACCCCCGGCGCCCACCCCGGCCGCCCACCCCCGGGCCACCCCGGGCCGCCGGGCAGCACCCCCCCGGGCGCCCACCCCGGGCACCCACCCCCGGCCCCCCCCGGCACCCAAGCCTCGAGGGCTGCGCGGCACGAGCTCTGGCCGCGCCCAGGGCTGCGGGGCGCGGCGGCCGGGGTGCTGGGGGCCGGGGCCCCTCCAGCGCGGCGCCCCAGCAGCGACCTCCGGGCAGGCGGGCGTCGGCGTTTCAGGTGTGCAACGCCTGGGCCGCGGCCATCGGTCACTCCACGGGGTCGCCAGCGCCCTGGACGCCCGAGGCGCCCGGACCCCAGGACCAGGGAACCAGGCGAGGGGGCGCCGGGCGGAGCCGGTCTCCGGCCGCGGGGGCACCCGCGGAGCCTCCGGGCGGGCCACCCCCAGCCGCGGCCCGCCCCCCCCGCCCCCGCCCCGCCAGGCCCCGCCCCCGGCGCGCGGCCCGGCGTCCCGCCCCTCGCCCAGGAAGGCCCCGCCCCCGGCGCGCGGCCCGGCGCCCCGCCCCCAGCCCCCGGAAGGCCCCGCCCCCGGCGCGCGGCCCGGCGTCCCGCCCCTCGCCCAGGAAGGCCCCGCCCCGGCGCCCGCCGCGCGCCCCCTCAGGCCGGCCCCGCCCCGGCGGCCCCTGGCCCGCTCGCCCCGCCCCGGCCGCCTGGTTTTCCCCTCTGCGCCTGCGCGACCGGAACCTTCGCGAAGGTTCCCGAAGCGGTGGTGGCCGTTTCCGGAAGCCGTCAGGCCGGAGGTCGCCCGGGGCAGTCGCGGACGCCGCCCCGTGGTTCCGGTGTCTGGGACGCGCGCCCGCGGCGACATGGCGCTGCTGTGCTACAACCGCGGCTGCGGCCAGCGCTTCGACCCCGACGCCAACGCGGACGGTGAGCCGCGCCCGGGGCCCGCGCCCCGGCCCCCCACAGCCCGGGGGCCCGCGCCCCTCCCCCCCCACAGCCCGGGGGCCCGCGCCCCCCCCCCCGCCCCCCCACAGCCCGGGGCCCGCGCCCCTCCGCCCCCCACAGCCCGGGGGCCCGCCCCCCCGCCCCCCCACCCGGGGGCCCGCGCCCCCCCCTCCACAGCCCGGGGGCCCGCGCCCCCCCCCGCCCCTCCACAGCCCGGGGGCCCGCGCCCCCCCCCCCCCCCACAGCCCGGGGGCCCGCGCCCTCCCCCCCCGCCCCTCCACAGCCCGGGGCCCCGCGCCCCCCCGCCCCCCACAGCCCAGGGGCCCGCGCCCCCCCCCCCCCCCACAGCCCGGGGCCCGCGCCCCGCTCCTCCTCCCTGACCCCCGCGACCCCCGCCCCTCCCCCCTGACCCCCCGGCCCCCGGGTCCCGCCGGGCCGGGCCGCAGCTCAGGGCACGGGGGCGCTCGCGGGCGGGCTGGGGAGCGCCGGGCGGCGGTGATGCCCCGAGGCTCCCCGCGCGGGCCGCGGCTGGTGGGGCGGGCGGCCGGGGGCGCGCTTCCTTCCCGGGGCCGCCCCGCACCCTCGGGGGTCGGGAGCTCCCGGGTGACAGGGCCGGGGCGCGAGGCCTGCGCCCCGTGCGCCCCGAGAGGCGGGGAGGCCCGGGCCCGCGCGGGCAGTGCTGGGGCGGAGGGCGAGCCTCGCTGCGGGGCGGCGTGCTTATTGGGGGTCGCGCCCCAGCGTGAAGGGCGGCGGCGGCAGCCAACGGGGCTCTCGGGAGACTTGGGGCCCCCGCGGAGGTCGCCGGCTGAGTGGGAGGTTGAGGAAATGGCGGCGCCAGACCCCCGCGACACGAGGGCGGGGGCCGGGCTGCCCCCTGGCGCGGGGCGCCGCGCTCACTTGCCTTTCAAAGGTGTGTTTGCGCGTCCAGGGCCCGGGGCGCAGGCCGGGGGTGCGAGGACTCCCCAGAGGCAGAGTGGGGGCAGAACAGGCGGGTTGACTGAAACGAGGGGTCTGCAGCACCCTGGGGGTCGCTCCCTGGGGCCGGGGTGGGGGGGTGGGCTCAGGCCGCAGCTGCTAGCAACCGCGCAGTAGCCCCAAGACTGACCCCTGCGCCCCCAGGGAGCCCCCCGCTAGGTGCCTTGTGCTGGTCTGTGCATCAACTCGCAGCGCAGCTCGGCCTCCTCAGTCCACGCCCTGGTCAGCTTGGTGGCTCCCTGTGTAGCCCCCGCCTCTGCTGTTCCCCCCAAGCCTGAGCTCCTGCTGGCCGGGCCGGCCCTCCTGCTCCCGCGGTGTCTGCGCCGGGCTGGGAGGACTCCCGCGCCGGGCCGGGCTCCGGGGCAGCTCCAGCCTCACTGCCGAGGCTGCGGGTCAGTGTGGGGCAGCAGTGCAAGGGGCAGCGCTGCTTCTCCTTGAGCTTCCGTTCAGGGGGGTGCGCGTGCCCGGCCGCCCGTGCCGAGCCCCTGCATCGTGGGTGCCAGGAGAGTACCCGAGGCTCAGCGGCCACCCTGAATGCCCCCGGAACGCCGCATGTCCAGGCTGACGCCCGCCTCGGGTGGTTACACCGGGGCCCTGTTTGTACATGTTGAGCCTGTTTCTCCAGAGTCTCCCCGGGAGTCTCTCGGGCAGACTCGGCGCCCAGTAGGGGATGCTTAGGGGGTGCTTAGGTCTGACGTTGCGGAAGGTCTCGGAGCTAAGCGGATTTTCCTGCGGAGGTTCCGGGGCTGTCGGTGTCCCCAGGTGTGTTCCGCACCCTGTCGCCATCTGAGTTAGACGCCGTCTGTGTGAACCAGTCCGCGTGCCTCACAGCCGCCCCCGGCACCCCCAGCCCTGCCCACCCTGTGGACTTCTGCACCCCAGGGCGGCCCCTTTCGGGCCCGGGTGGGGGTCGGGCAGCCTTGCAGGACGGGTGGGGTGGCTTCTCCATCCCTCCCCTGTCCTTCCCCCTCCACAGCGCCAGGTCACGCCCGTGCTCGCCGCCTGCGCGGTGCCCTGGGCACTCAGTCCCCCGTCCTTGTGCGCGCTGCTGGCGGCGGCCCTTCCGCTGGCTCCGAGCTGTCGCCCCGCGTCTTCAGGGCTGGCCTCGCGCGTCGTCTCCAGTTGCCCGGTAGCATCTTGCTCTGTCTCGGGTCCTTTCCAGGACCGTGGCAGTAGCCGGCTCGTGCGTGTGGGGCCCGGGTCCCCCCTTGGTGTGGAGCCGCCCGTCTCTCCTCATTTCGGTGGCTGTCCATGTGGTTCGTGTCCACAGTCCAGTGGGCGGGGTGGGTGCAGTCCCCATTGTGGGCAGGCCGGGGTCGGTCTGGTGTGTGTGACCCCTGTTGTCCCCCCTTCCTGGAGCCCTCGGCCTGAGACTGGCAGTCTGTGCGGAGCCGGCCCGGGGTGCCAGGTGGGGTGGGGCCTGCTCTGCTACGCGCCTCGCTGTCGGCCCCCTCTACCCCGGCCGTGCCAGCCCTCCCCTCGCCGCCCCGACCGCAGCCTTGCCCGTGGCGGAACCAGGGGGCCCCCGAGGTGCAGGGGGTGCTTCTGCTGCAGGGAGCGTGCCGAGCGCCCATTTGTTGGCCCTCTCAAGAGGGAGGACACAGCCCGTGGTCGTGCGCCGTGGCGTCCGGTCCAAGACTGTCAGAGCCCCGCGAGCCCCAGGAGGAGTCTTGCCCGCCTTTGGCAAGGGGTCGGTGTCGGTGCCTGGAGGGGATGGCTGTTTGCCTTGATGACCAAGTGACTTTTCTCTTCTGTCTGCGCAGATGCGTGCACGTACCACCCGGGCGTCCCCGTGTTCCACGACGCGCTCAAGGTAGGAGCTCCGCGCCAGCTCGGAGTCTGGCCTGCGGGGCGGCCTTGGCGCTGACCCCTCTCCTGTCCTTGCCTCTGCCGGGGCCTTGCTGCCGACGCCCGCCTGCCCGGAGAGAGGCTTCCCGGAGGACGAGGAGGCCGTCGCGGGTGACCTGCGGGCTGCCCGGTCGTGAGGCTGTGCTGCCGCTGCCCCGGCTCTTGCTTCCGCACCGTGGGGCGTTGGACCCTGATCTCGGGGCCCCAGGAGCTGCAGTGCACGGCGGCCTCTGGATTTGGGGAGAGGCTGTGCTGCTGGGGTGTGGCCCCTGCTCGCCCTGCGTCCCATAGCGGCAGATAGCAGCGGGACGCTGGGGCCAGGTTTCCATCGCGGGTTTAGGGGTTGGTTTTTGAGCCGCTGCATTTTCCTTTTTCTAACTTAGACGCAAACGGCACAGTGCAGGGTCACTGCTGTGTTCTCAGGCGCCGCCCGTCCCGCACGGAAATAGGGCCGCTGCCCTGCGCCTCTCCCACCTGCCAGGGCCGTGGCTGGGCTCCTTCGGCCTGTAGCTGTTGGGTGGCCTCGTCTGAGCGGAGACCAGCAGGGTTTGCTGTTCTGACTAGTTTTGGGGGGGCCTGCGTGCCAGACCTGACTGCCGACATCCTTTCTGGCTGTTAACCCTGGACAGAGGACACTGCCTTGGGGGGAGTGTTGTTTGGGGGTGGGGTGGACTTGCACTTGCTGGACGCCATCTGCTCTGTTTCTCTCACTGTGTGTTTCCCCGGCTTCTCTCCTGTGGCGTCTCCTAGTTCTAGCACGTTTTGCTGCTTGTCTCTCATGACAGCTCATCGCTTTGTTCTTACATGTCGCCTCTCTGCCGGGGACTTCCGCCCCGTGCTCCCATTTGTGTGTCCCCCGCTGCCAGCAGCGTCCACCGCGCACAGTTCCTCCAGAGCCCAGCGGCCCTGTGCCGTCTCCGCGCTTCGGCCTGGACGCCTCGTGGTTCCTCCGTGTTCTCCAGGCCCGGGGCTCACCCTTGTCTCTGTTCTGTGAACACGGGTGGCAGACCCAGACTCCAGCCCAGTGACTTCACTGTAGGTCACTTTCTTTCTGAAGTTCTGTGTGGCCGAGTCATTCTGAGGTTAAGCGTCGCACTGCCCAGAGAAGGAACATTTTGATAATCACAGTTGAAGATTTGGAAAAGGGCAATACTTGCTAAGGAACGGCAGTTACCAGCCATATTCTCATGTGTTTATTCTTCCTTTCTTCCTTCCTCATCTTTTTGAGGGCCCCCCCCCAGTTCCCATGTTGACATTTGGCAACAGCTGGTCTGTTGAGCGTGTGTACCCCAGAAGACCCAGCATTCCTGGGGCAGTTGCTAATATCGGAGTACGGTGATAAAGCTTCTGCTCAGCTGGGATGATCTAAAGATAACTTTTCTACCACTAATTCATTAAACCCTTTCTTAGGTTGCAGTAATGATTCATCTATATCAAAATTCAGAGTAAAGTGCTAAGTTGCAGCCGAAGGAAAAATTTGAATTAAAAGTATATTTAAATTTTTCTTCAAAAGAATCTTTTTTGTGAAAAATTGCTTTTTGTGAAAAAAATTACTAGCAGCCCCTCCCTTCGTGCAGTATGTTGACGAACACAATGTGTATTTTGTGATGTGCTACGTGACAGCTAGTCCTTGGCTCCAGCAGCCCGAGACTGCTGCTGTTCTCCCCCCACGCTGGAATAAAGGTGACCAAACCACTTACTCCTTTGTTCGTAAATCATGTCACTTTCATGTTCATGTATGTAAGTGCAGGTGGTGTTTTTTGGTGGGCTTAGGGTCTTATGCAGACACAATTTTCAGTTTTTTTTTTTCTGTTTCTTAGGGTTGGTCTTGCTGTAAGAGAAGAACGACTGATTTTTCTGATTTTTTAAGCATTGCAGTAAGTATTGCTTCCCCACCCCGCCAGGTTCTCTCCTGAAAAATACGTGTGATGGGAAGAGGGAGATGTGAAGAATAGCAGTTTAGACATGTACTGACATTCTCATTCATTAGTCTCCACGTAGAACCTTTCATTTAAAGTGGAGTTCACTTCCCTTGCAGTCCGTAACATAAGGAATTTATCTTTGTTTCAGATACTGAATTTTCCAGGTCTTATTACCCGCTTTTCCATTTACTGTTGCTCTTGAGTTTAGTCTCAACGTGAAGAATAGGGAAGTGGGGTGCAACAGTTTACAGCATTTTTCATTGAGAACAATACATTTTCATCAAACCCACCACAGTATTGCGATACCCTGTTACTTTGGGTACCCGTGGGAAGGACAGCCAAAGCTGCTAGTTAAATGTCAGACCATTGCCGTCAGGACCACAGCGGCATTAACAGGCATGTAGTCCTCAGTGGGGCGTGGAGAGGCAGCCGGCGTCCATCCAGTGCTTCTGCCACCTGCCAGATGTGCTGTAGTTAACCCTCTGGGAACACCTGTCATTACCTCCACTTTCCTGATGAGTACATTGAGGTTAAAATGATTAATTGACTTGCTCAAGCTCATACATATGGCAACTCAGTTGGAGAACTGGGGCTCAACGTAAAACCTTTTTGAGTAAACTGCTTCTGTATAGAGTTTGCAGAGACACTTTGTGAGTCTCCAGAATTTATTTTCTGTGAATAAGAAATTTATACTATTCTTTTCATAGAATAAGTAGATAGGTATGTATGAAGCATAATGAAACACTGCGATACATTATTCAGACCTGAGAATTTATCTACAAATGTAGCAAGCAAGCTTGAAGTCCTGTTTTTAGCTTTTTTAAAAATAAGTGCACATGATAAAAGTAGAGGAAACGTAGAGTAGAATTTATCAGTAGGGGAACGGTAGTCCTCTCCCAGCCTGACTCGGTGAACATGTCTTACTGACAGGGCTGCACCAAAGGCCGGCATAATAGCGAGAAGCCGCCTGAGCCAGTCAAACCTGAGGTCAAGACGACTGAGAAGAAAGAACTTTCTGAATTGAAACCCAAATTTCAGGAGCACATCATTCAGGCCCCCAAACCAGTAGAAGCAATAAAAAGGCCAAGGTACACCTCTCGCAGTCGCGCGCGTTCCTCCCAATGCAATAGTCACCATCATTCCTTGTGTTCTGTGATTTTGCACAGCGCTGTGTTTACGTTGTGTGGACCCTCAGCTCTTGGCCCATTGGGTTTTCCCTTTGATTTGCCCTCATGTTTTCCTTGGATGCCTGAAAACTCAGTTGCATCATTACTGGTAAATTTGTAATGTATCAGATGTGGGTGGCATTCTACCTGTTAAAGTACTTTCAGAACACCTTTTACTCATTTTCCAGAAGTGCACCCACGCGCCACGGGCACTGGGACCAGCCACAGGCTCTGTCTCGCACGTGCCTGTTGGTGCCACGGTCACATCAGCTCTTCTCGTGTCACTGCCGAGCCCCGCGCTGGTGTGTCAGCAGAACCAAAATGCCACATGTAGACCCGGCTGGTTCTTGGCCTCAGACGCCCGCGATCACATGTTCATGCTGTGGACTTGTGTCTTCCCAACCTTTTCTTTGTTTATTTTAAATAAATTTATAACATTGGATATTATCCAGCTCAATTGACTCTTTGGTGTTTACTCGTTCATTTTCAAGAAACTGCTTCAAATGATTTTTTTATCCCTCGTTATTCTTAATGCCTTGTTGGCTGATCTGCCAGTTAACAAAACAAACTGTCCGGAAAAGACAAGAATTCTGGCATGGCTCATGGAGTGGAGACTTACTGACAGTATGTGTTACGTTGGCTCCAAATAATGAACTAGTAATAATTGTACTTAAGAAGAAGTGAGAAATTAAATGATTTCTCCTAAATTCACTTGGGGGCATTATAGAGATTATGAGAATGTAAGTTTTTATGGACTTTGTCAACACCTCCTGTATCAGTAATTTTTCCCATTAGGAGCACAATGTAACATAAATAATGTATGATTTCTATTTCCATTACCGTATTTATTAATATTCTTAGCACATACCAAATAGCCTTAAATTGTACATACAGCACTTAACCATTATGAAACATTAGGGGATATAGTTGTTACCGAATTGTTTTGGTTGTTTTTTTTTTTTTTTTTTTTTTGTGGGACCCTCGCCGGTGGCCGGGGAACGAACCAGCACTGCAGAGGCTGCGGGCAGCTTTGCAGGCCAGCGCTCAACCGCTGCGCCACCAGGGGAGGCCCTGGTTGTTTTTTTTTTTTATAAGATTTACTTATTCATATAAGAACTAGGGTCTAGGCCAGAGGTGCAGGGGGTGAAAGAACTCACCAGAGACAGAGTGGGGAGCAGAACAGGCGGATCCACTGAAACACTGCTGAGGGGAACAGCAGGGAGACCCGAGAGGTCTGCTGCGCCATGTGGGTTGCTCCCTGGCTGGGGATTGAACTCAATGCTGTCAAGGCTGGCGATAGCTTCATAACACTGAGACTTAAACCCCGTACCCCAGGGAGGCCCTGTTGCTGTGTTTTTTTAACCCCACTGAAACTGCCTTGTCATATACTTGTATCTGAATTTGTAGGAGCTTATGCCACTGGGCACATGCCCCAAGGGCAGTGTCTCCCCTGGCAGGAATATGGGACATAGGAGCACTACACTTCAAGAAGCTGCTCTTCTTGAAGGACTTGGGTTTCTAGTTTGTGCGTCCTTCCCAGGGGCTCTGCTTTGCTGTTAAACAGTTACTTGTGAAAAACATTTTTTAATGGGAAAAATTTGACTTAGGGTATTTAGCTTCTCTTCCTAAACAGGCTCTGGAGTATATTAATTGTGAGTACAAGAAGTATTTTGGTACATCAGTAATGCTAATAAAGTTTTAAAATTCTGCAGCCCGGATGAACCAATGACAACTTTGGAATTAAAAATATCTGCCTCCCTAAAACAAGCACTTGATAAACTTAAACTGTCAGCAGGGAATGAAGAAGATAAGAAGGGTAAGATTTTGTTGTACTTTGTGTTTTCTCTTGTACTGTGGCCAGTCATTTAAGAGACAGTGGTGTAGCGTGGAAAAGCACATTGTAGTAAAGAGCTTTTCCCCCCAATTGCTGTTATATCATGGAGTGACACTGGGATTTATTCCCTTTCGCTTTTATTAAAATGAGAACCTGAGAAGCTTCTTGAAGGTTTTCCTCCCCTTCCCCATCTGCCCCAGTGTGTTTGGGCCCCGTCCAGTTCCAAGGTACAGCCTTCGCCTGCCATCAGCATGGGGAGGACAGGGGCTTGCTAGGCTGGACTCATTGACGTCCTGTGAGCTGATGGTCCAGGACACCTGCTGTGGCAGAAATAGTGCCAGTTCCTGGAGCAAAAAACTCAGTAACATCAGTTATGGAAAAAGAATTTAAAAAAAAAAAAAAGTGACTGCCTTTTCATGAAATTTTTTTCTATGATTACTTTTTAACAGTGAATTAAATGTCTTTGTTAATGAGACGTACACTATCTTCGGTGATCTCTCACCTGCGTGGGAGGCCGGGAAGGAGGGCCCCCCCTCCTGGTCACTCACGGTTGGGGTGGCGAGTCTGGTGGCGCTGGGGACAGACAGGACTGGTGTCCTCTGGGAACACTAGATCTTTAAATGTATCGCCTAAAAGGTCACCTGAAAAACTTCAGATTTTTATTTTAAAATACCACCTTCTGTGAGTCAGTTTTTCAGGTAATTGTTGTATGGAAAAGCTTGCTGTTGTAATGGCGCTGCAGTAGAGTATGTTATTTTTCTGTTTCCGATTTGATTTTATCCTTCGTTTCAGAGGAAGACAGTGATGAAATTAAGATTGGGACCTCGTGTAAAAATGGAGGGTGTTCAAAGGTACACGTTTTGTAAAATCTGTCTTGTGTCTTGGAAGTAAAATGTTCATTTTGAAAAGGGAGTGCGGCTCCCTGCAGGCCCTGGGCCCCGCGCGTGCCCGACACTGCACTGGACAGCTGGGCGTGGGTGAGGGGCTCGCCTTTGAGGGCTGCTCCGGGGTGAGAGAAGGGGTTGGGCAGGTGAGAATTTGGTGACTTCTGACTGTACCCAGTGCATGTATAAATAAATCTTTAAAAAAAGAAAGCGTATAGAATTTTATTTTCTGTACTTTTAGGTGGTTGCTATCAATACTGAGATAGAAAATATATTACCGGCTGCATTTATGTTTTATTTTTTTATTTTAAAGATTTATTTATTTATATAAGCACTGGGTACAGTCAGAAGCGCAGGAGGGTGAGAGGATTCACCAGAGCCAGAGCGGGGAGCAGAACAGGCAGACTGATGAAATACACTGTTGAGGGGAGCAGCGGGCGGCAGGAGAGGTCTGCGCACCATGTGGGACCCTCCTCCGGAGGCCGGGGATTGAACCTGCGCTGCAGAGGCTGCGGGCAGCTTCGCAGCCCAGAGCTCAACTGCTGCGCCACCAGGGGAGGCCCTGCATTTATGTTTTATTAACATAATTTTCTGTGAATTCATCTGTAGAGCCTTCATCTATAGCAACAATGGGGCCCAGATATACCAGACAAACCCTGGATGTAAATATAGGTCTGCAGCTTATTTCACCCTTCCTAGGGATAGGAAATCATCACTCTAGAAATTCCAGAATAGACTATTAGATTTTCCTTTTACTCCATAATGCCCACATGGAGCTCATACACATCAGTTGTACCAGTCTGTTGAGGGTACTAACACCTTGGTTCCACTGTTGTTCTGTAAACTTAAATACCCGAGTATGCTTGGACGGGACCACATACCCAAGTTTTGGAAGCATGTTAATACTACCGCCTCCTTCTCTATTTGCCTTTTTCACAGGGAACTGAAACTTAAGCATGTCCAATTAAGAAAGAAATCCTTTTTCATTATTGAAATGACTGTGGTGAATTTATGGGTGTTCTAAGTAATTGTTATTTCTTCAACACGAACATAGTTCAGTGAGGCCAACAGCACTACACACGTGAGATACAGCATTGAGATACGCCACTAATTTTTCTCTTTTCTCTTTTAGACATACCAGGGCCCGCAGAGTCTAGAGGAAGTCTGTGTGTATCACTCTGGAGTGCCTATTTTCCATGAAGGGTAACTTACACGTGTCTAAACACTTTATGGTAGAGGTTAGAAAAGTTAATATGCCTTTAAATATTATTTGCATCATTAGGTATTCCACTTTCTGTTTGTATAATCTTTGTAATAACCTAGACTTGGGGGTTTGTTGTTTTACATGACAAAGCTGCAGTAGGTCACAGTTACACAGCCCTTCTGATTCAAGTGTCATCGTTTTCCTTTCTCCTATTTCAGTTTGACAGCCTTTGTACTTGAGCTGAAGGAGCTTGTGCATTGCGGGGCATTTGTTATTTTTGGCCCCAAGACACTAAGGTGACACATCTTCAGGGCCCAGAAGACCCATGCTGGCAGCGTCAGGGAAGGACCTTGTTCCATGTTGTGCTGTAGTTCATAGAAGCACAGTGTTGGGTTAAAATCTTACCACTCTGTTTTTATATTCCCTAGGACTCTGAAGTTTTACTGTGGTTTTGTTAGATTTTTCTCAAAGGTGGATTTCACTTATTTTGGGGCTGACCATGTTTTATAAACATCAGTTTTTAGTGTGTTTGCACGTTCTTACTCTCCCGGACTATTAAAATGTGAGGACTTAAAATTTTTGGTAACTTCATGGGGAACTGGCATGTGGGTGTCAGTAAAGGCGGATTTGGTGCTTTGTGATGGTGTAAGCACCTTCACTAGGAGTCCAAAGCTGGTGCTGCCGTCCTGGCTTCAGTCTTCTGGTAGTTCTGACCGTGCAGAAGGAGAAGCACTCGTGAGATACTGACGTTGCGCATTTATTTATTGATGTCCTAAAATCACACATCTAGCTATAGCTACAATATTTCTGAGCTTAATTGTGAGATTTTCTGAATATTTTCTACTATAATTTAAAGGATGAAATACTGGAGCTGTTGTAGAAGAAAAACATCTGACTTTAATACATTCCTAGCCCAAGAAGGCTGCACCAAAGGGACACACACGTGGACTAAGAAGGATGCCGTAAGTAACCTCTGCAGATCACATACCAGGTGTTTGCATCTCAGTTGTTTTTAAAAGATTGTGACTGTATTGTCATTAGATTTTAAAAAAAAAAAAAAAAAAAAAAGTTTTTTCTCACCCTCACACAGTAAAGCGTCCATGTGCCCGAAAACTAAAGGAGGAGGCATCAGCTGGGAACCTGCGCACCCGTGTCGGGTGCAGGTGTGGGGGAGACTCCTGCCCGCCAATACTGACACATTTTTTCTCTTGTTCCATAGCCCTATCCCATTTTATGTGTTTTTTTTTTTTTTTTTTTTTTTAGTCACTGGTGTATTAAATTTTTAGTCACTGATTCCCTTTTAGCTACTTAAAATTTCATTTGACCATTTATAGATGTACAGACTCCTCATCTGGTGACAAGCTAGGCTAGCACACTTGTTTCTTTGCATTTTATTTTGAATTGCCTGCGCCTGCTGTAGGGATATTTAGCAACAGAGAAAAGAAACTGACAGTTACTACTTCCTGAACAGGTTTTTTTTTTTTTTTTTAAGATTTATTTATTTATACAAGAACCAGGGTACAGGCCAGATGTGTGTGAAGGTGAGAGGATTCACCAGAGACAGAGCAGGGAACAGAACAGGCAGATTGATTGAAATACACTGCTGAGGGGAGCAGCAGGCGAGACAGGAGGGGTCTGCTGCGCCAAGTGGGAATCTCCCTGGCCGGCTGTGATCAAACCCGCACTCCAGGCTGCGGACAGCTACACAGTGCTGCACTCAACCGCCTGTACCGCCTGTGCCACCAGGGAGGCCCAGGTTTTTTTTTTATTTTTTTTATTTTTCTCAAGATATATTTATGTATTCAAGAACTGGGGTAAAGGTGGAACTGAGGGGTGTGGTGAGAGGATTCACCAGAGACTGGGGAACAGAACAGGCAGATTGACCAAAGTATACTACTGAGGGGAGCAGGGGGTGAGTCAGGGGAGGTCTGCTGCGCCATGTGGATTGCTCCCTGGCCAGCCGGGGATTGAACTCATGCTACAGTGGCTGCGGACAGCTTCATAGGTTGCGTCTTAACCCCTTGCACCATCAGGGAGGCCCCTGAACAGGTTTTTGAAAAAGACTTGGACCATGCAGGTAATTTTCTAAAGTTCTTTAACTTATAGGTAGGCCAGCATTTTATTGCTAAATAAGAGTGTGTGTATGTGTGTTAGCTGTTGTTAATGTGTTACATGATAAGTCAGTTTGGTGTGTTACATTGGGACTAGTAACACCCAACAGTGAATCTTTCAGTATATGAGTCTTTTAACATAGAAAAATTATAAAAGTTCAGATTGCTGTAGGGATTCACTTACTGTACATTTGAGTGTTTTGTAATTTCTGTTTCTTGGTGACACAAATGTATCCATCAATTAAAGATAATTCATCTACCACTGTAAGCTTCCAGGAATGTTTTATTAGCACAAAAAAATAGTCTCCCTATATTTTCACCAAGGTCCAAAAGTTTAAAGTTTAAAAGTTTAGTTTGAAAAATTAAAATGTCTTTTTTTTTTTTTTTTTATTCAAGACTCTCTTAGAGCATAATCCTTAATGAAGTAATACTTTTTTCAAGTGTTAAATGTCTGAGCTAGTAACTTAAGGGCAAAAAATGTGGGTGATACAAATAATTTAAATTCAGTTAAAATAATTCTACATATATATGGATATATTTTGCCTTTTACAACAGTAGTGTCTCATAGTTTCCTGTATTTGATGAAATTACTGTCATTTATAGAACAAATCATAATTTATCTCAATTTAAAAGTTACTGATCTAATAATATATCACTGCTAGGTAGTAATCATTACCATAATAATAAAAAGATTACCTTTGATAATAATCAAAAGATTTTGATTATTATCAAAAGTACTACTTTTTTGGGGCCTCCCCGGTGGCGCAGCGGTTGAGTGCTGGGTTGCGAAGTTGCCCGCAGCCTTTGCACCACCGGTTCGATCCCCGGCCACCAGGCGAGGGTCCCACATGGCGCGTAGACCTCTCCTGCCGCCCGCTGCTCCCCTCAGCAGTGTACTTCGTCACTCTCTCTGTTCTGCTCCCCGCTCTGGCTCTGGTGAATTCTCTCACCCTCCCGCACCTCTGACTGTACCCAGTGCTTGTATAAATAAATAAAAATAAATCTTTAAAAAAAAAAAAAGTACTACTTTTTTGACCTACTTTTTCTGCACATTTGGGAGGAAAATAATTATTCAGTAATAACAGCAGATAAGTTATAAATGGTCAATTATTCTTTTCTACAATTCTGATGTAGAAAATAACCTGTAAAAGATGGTAAGATATTGGGTGGCATATTGCATTAAGCAAGGTCTGCCTCACCTAAGTCTGCAAAGAATGTTCCTGTGATTACTTAGTCTGTTGCAGAATGTTAAAAATAGATGATGTTTAGTAGGAGCTCTTAGGTTTTTTTTTTCCCCATGTGAGTAATACAGTGCTGAAGGCAAAACATCAAGTGAAAGGAATAAGCTTGCTCTCAGATCATAAAACTAAAGGGTATTATGTCATGTGTTTAAATTTCTTGGTGGAAACTTGAGGAATTGTTTGCCCTTAAGACACTTTTGCACAGCAGTTTTTCCTCAGTTGGACAAAATTCATTTTATTTAGGAGATTTTGTAGCACTTTGAAAATTCATAAAGTCATTCTTCTATTACAGGGGAAAAAAGTTGTTCCCTGCAGGCATGACTGGCATCAGACTGGGGGTGAAGTCACCATCTCAGTGTATGCTAAAAATTCACTTCCAGAACTCAGTCAAGTTGAAGCAAATAGTACATTGGTAAGGACACTGAGAAAATTCTTCTGTGAAAATTGTCTGTATACCTTGTTCTTTATGTTAAATGTCTTAGAAAATATTACTCGTGTTTGAACTGATTTTAAGATGAGATCTTTTGACCTTTCCCATTTGAAATTATTTTCACAGATATTTAAATGGAAATTTCTGCATAGTAGAGTATTCAGGAAATACTAACCTCACTTAAAAAGTTTATCAAATAATATGGCACCTAGTTCTCAGTATGACACCTCAAGTGAATTTTTCTTTTGTTAAACAGAAAATTTCTTTTCTCAGATGAAAAACACAATATTGGGAGTTTCTTAAAATAGCTTGAGTCATTCTGTTCATTGTTACCTAATGTTTATAATAACTGTTTCATGTCATAAACTTTCACTTTGAATGTCATCATTTAATCAGCTTTTTATCTTTTACAGTTAAATGTACACATTGTATTTGAAGGAGAAAAGGAATTTCATCAAAATGTGAAATTATGGGGTGTAAGTATTGAATTCAGATTTTTTTTTTTATAAAGAATAACATTTTTTGCAATAAAGACAGTACTTTAGTAGGCGTTGGTGCAAGGTAGGGTTATAACTTACCATTATTTTTGAGCGAAAGTGTAAATCGAGGTATAAGAATGGCCTCGGAGGCTCGTGTTCTTGATTATTAGCATAGACTAGATCAGTATTTTCCCCTAAGACTGACAGCACTGCCCTGTATTGCGTGTTGTGTTGCAGGTGATTGACGTCAAGCGGAGTTACGTGACGATGACCGCAACAAAGATTGAGATTACAATGAGAAAAGCTGAGCCTATGCAGTGGGCAAACCTTGAGCTTCCTGCAGCCAGAAAGCAGGAGCAGCACAAAGATGACAAAACAGAATGAGCTGACGGGATGATGTTCCTGCCTGTTTCAGAACCCTTAGTGTGTGGTGACGTGGTGGCTGCTGCTGTACCTTTTTTTGTTCTTGATGATGTTGAATCTGGCATTTCAGGGTCAATAATTGGTTCTTAAAAACCAAAGTCAGTTTCTCTTTTGTGCCTCCCATCTTCATTTTGAGTTGCTGCCTTGCTTGTTCATTTCTTCGCATCAGTAGAACTATACGAGTCCTGTACTTGAAGCTGGGTAAGCGCCATCGACAGTTAACAGTATTTCTTAGTGTAATACGATGTTAAGCAGAGAAATGTAAAGCAACATTTGTTGCACTTACATACCTTTCAATTAGCCTATTATTAATAAAACAGGTGAACTGTCAAATTTTTAATTAATGTTTCCATGAGTCTGCGTTCCTGTTGACACGTGAACCTCTAGGCCTGACTCACAGGGCTGTGCCCATGCGCCTGGCAGGTCTCCGCAGCGACCCGCTGGAGCTCCTCTGCTGAAGAGTTACCCTGTGCTGCCTGTTGACAGGATGAGTTTAGGGCATAGGAAACACAGGTGAGAGCTCTGAGGTATCAGCTTGGCAACATTCAGCACTCTACAGACAGAGCAATAACTTCAACCCTCTTTGTCCTGACTGCAGTGTCTGAATGATGTCATGTCTAAATCGTACCTGATTTTATAGCCCGCGGCCTCCTCAAACCTGTAGTTATATAAAGAGAAATTGTGTACATTTGTGTATAAACCCTGGTGGATAACTGTATCTGTAAACTTGAAAGACTTAACGGAAATAAATTAGGGCATCAGAACTAAATATTTAAATTTTGTGACAGTTGTCACACATTAAATAAAATCGCTTATTTCTTTTGTAGGTTTTTTTTTGTGTTTTTTTTTTTTTGAGATTTTCATGAAACAGCTTGGCAATCCTAGGTGACACAGTATTGATTATTGCACTTTATCAAGTAGCGGTTACACAGAATTAGTCTTAATGCTGATTGAGCCGCCCACTGAAAGATAGGTTCATTTTGAGGCACTGCAGAGTTAATGAAGAAAATTAAAATTAATTTTATGAATCGAAAACTCTGGCAGAGCATAATAATTACCATTCTAAAGAGTAAAATTCCTAGTTCCGAAGCCCTTTGCATATTTTTCTTTTCTTGGAATTTTTACAAAGAAAAATTTGTGCAAATAACAGTGTCTGAGCTGCAGTGTCAGCCCACCGCTGTGACAGTGGCCACTGTTAGATGCAGTGATGTGAGGATTTAATGGCCTGGCCTGCAAAGAAGTAAACATGTGGCAGTTTGATTTTCATCACCTTAAAAGCTGTGACAGGAAATTTTTGGCAGTAAAGGTTGGACCCGAGGAGAAGGTGTCAGTTTGCAGCATGCCACCTTTTGCGGTTCTTTTGTTATTTGGGCACCTCGGTTCATTTGAAAACATGAAATCTTGCTGTTTGGGGGATGGTTGGTACTTTATTTGATTTGAAGTAATTGTTAAACCTTTTTTTAATGTTTTCTTCTTGAGGCTTTTTTCCCCAGACATAGGAATTTGTGATTTTTAATATTTAAAGCTAGTGGGTTAAATAGCACTTTCCAGTACTCTCCATATTTGGATTGGCTGCATTAGTAGCGCTTTCCTTTTTTTACTCCAAAATACCTCTGGATTTGTTGGCCAGATACAAATCTAGGTGGCACTGACCTTAGATTCACCTATGATTGAGTAGAATGTTTCATCAGTGTGTCAAAATTTTTTAAATGGTAAACTTTCCTTGTTTCTCTAGAAATAAGCACTGTCTCAGCACTCAAGGTAATGACTATTAGCAATGCAACCAGCCGGTTTATCACATTCTTGGTAGCTAATGTGAGTGCCAAACTCAACGTGGGAAATCTCATGTAACATAGAACCTTCACAGAACTAAGCAGTTAGCAACTTGGATGAGACTGTTAACTACAGTGTTCATTTTGATCACCTATTTCTAGGTGCAGCTGTATTTAAGGACAGTTCTTAAGGCCTAGCCTTATTTTTTTGTAATAAGCAAGTAGTTTATAAACAATTTATAAGTTGAAACCAACTTCCATCGACAGATGTTCATAGGTCAATGATACAACATCTTGATGAACCATATACTGGCAAAGAAATGTAATGATCTTAAACATTTGAAAATTTTTTAAGATGACTTTGGATTATTGTTCTGCCACCCCTTGCTTTAAAAAAAAAAAGTCATTCCCCAATCTGAAAATGCATGTCATGCAATCACCCACAATAAACAAAATTTTAAAAGCTTTTATGAGGTCTGGCGTCAATTTTAGGACATTTGGATATGTGTGCTGTTGCCTTTTTTTTTTTAAAGTTGGTGCTTGTGATTTACCTGTTAGAACATGAACATGTGTGTTTCATTGCAAATTATTTTGATCTGGCTTTCACAGTGGGTATTTGATTCTTTTGCCTATGTCGTCAATCCATGGCCTAGGGTCTGAAAAGCAAGCTAACTTCAGCTTGTTTTAGGTTTTCTAATAGGTTTTACCTTCCTTTCTTTTCGCTATTGGCTACCCGGGGTTGGGTGGGTTGGTTTTTTTTCACCTGCCTGCTTTTGAACACTAGCATTACTGAAGTCCTGAACTTGCAAAGATTTTCTTCTGCATAGTAGTGATTTTAAATGTGTATGTAGTTCTGAGTTACGAAGCATTCCTCAGGAATGTCTTCTAAAGAGCATGTTCTTATTACATGGTATCAGTCTTTATTAATTTTGGAATTTAGTAGGCCATCTTTAATTTCCATTGAAGTGAAACAAGATTCTTAGTGGCCTAGGGGTGGAGTCTCGGACTGTCACTGCCAAGGCCTGAATTTGATCCCCAGCCAGGGAGCTCCCCACAGAGCGCAGCATACCTCTCCTGTCTCCCTGCAGTTCCCCTCTGCAGTGAATTTCAGTGGATCCACCTGTTCTGCTCCCCACTCTGGCTCTGGGGGGTCCTCTCACCATCCTCCCACCTCTGGCCTGCACCCCAGTCCTACGCAAATAGAATCTTAAAGGAAAAAGTGAAATAAAACCTCCACGCATCATCATACTACTTTCAGATTATGTCAAAATAGCTTAATTTTCACTCTCTTTGACTGGGTAGCTCATACTGTCAGAATGCTTAAATAAAGTGTCGCTGATCTACTAGGACGACGGAAAACCTGGAACCTGTTGTTCTTTCCCGCTTCCGACAGGGAGACTGGGTCAGAGTGATCTGGTTTGTTGAGATCCCTGTGGCGCTGAGTCCCGCTTGCCGTTTGGTGCTTGTTCATATTTTATTTGTAGGATTGATTTTCAGATGCTCTTGTCCCCGCGCACCGTCGCGGCGGCGGGCCCGTGTGTGGGTCGGGTCAGCGCTGGTGGCCACGACCCAGGCCCTGGGCGGGTGTTGGCGCCGCCGGGGCCGGGGGCGGGGGGTGTTCTGTCGGGGTCCCCCGCCGTCGGGGCGCAGCGGCTTCAGGAAGCAGACTCGGGCCTGGGGCCACGTCGGGTCTCAGGTTGGCGCCCAGACAGGGCGGCCTGACCCGATGTCTCCGGATTGGAGTCGCGCCTCGCTGCGGGGTGGGGCGGGGGCTTTGCCCTGAAGAGCCGCGGTTCCCGCAGCCTCGGGGTGCAGTGTCCGGGACGCGGGGTTGCAGTTGGCGGCGGTCCCCAGGGGTCTCCCGCCGGCGTCCTGCCCCCATCGCCTCATTCTTCAGAAAGGGTGAGTGGGCCCCGAACGCGCCGCTTCGTCCCACTGTTGATTTGAAAGCAACAGCGGCGGGGACTTCAGATGCAACTCACGTTTTTCTCCCCTTTGCCAAATCATTTCGATGCGTTTTAGAACAACCAGGGACTTGCAGGGAAGTGGCAAGGCCGCCGCGCCGCCCCTCCTGCCGCCGGGGAGCTGCCCCCGGCCGGCCCCGCGTCCTCCTCGCACCCGCTCCCCTGTCTGGAGGGCAGGCGGCCCCACGCCCCGCTGCAAAGCGGAGACGCTTTCCCCCTGCCCCGGCAGCCGCCGATGTTCCGTCTAACGGCACAGAAAACGCCCTCTTCCTCGCGGAGCTGCTGTGTGTGCTCTCGGCGCACGGCAGTTACCGTAAGGGCTGAGCCACATTCCACCGCGGCCCACCCGTCTCTCGCCCGTGGCGCACACCTGGGCTGTTTCCACGAGGCTGATGCCAACAGGCGGTGTCTTCCTTGTTGCGCTTGTGTTTTGGTTAGTGCTAGAAGTAGAACCTGGGGGCTAGTAAGTATGTTTCGCCTTACAAGAAACTGCCTCTTTTCCAAAGTGGCCCCCAAGGCTCCAGTCCTATTAACGAGGTGTCCACTGATCAGTCCCTGGGGCGCAACAGTCAGCCGGGTGTCCCGGTCATACCTCCGGATGTGCAACTGCTGCCCCAGGGCCGTCAAGCGTCCTGCTCTTGTCTAACTTGAAAGGAGCCTCTAAGCTACACCCACATTCATCACCAAAGCCTCTTTCCAGATGAACAAGATAAGAAGTCCAAAATCAAAATACAGTCTGAAAAGCAAGAATTTAGGATACTCTGAGTAAAGCCAGGACCCTCACCATGCAGATTTCTGGAGCTACATCTCTGTCTTGGGATGAATTTTTAATGTGAATCCAATCCACCGTGTGTGTGTGAGTGCAAACTTCTAATGAATAGCTCCCGGACGTGGTCCCATACTCTGCTTCTCTAACCAGTTCCCAGGTGCCGCTGCTGGTCTGCAGGGTCACACTTGAATGCTCCCAGTGGGTCCTTCCTATCAAGACAGCAAAACTGCTTTCAAAAGTTACATCTGACATGTACTAAGATCAACGTGTGAAAGACTTCTGTGAAAGTGTGAAGCAGCCTGTAAGTTTTTCACAGCAGAAAGTAAGGAAGATTTTACAAGTAAGAGAGAATCGAAGCACTGTGCTTTCTAGAGTCCGGCCTTCCTGCCCTCCCCACTCAAGGCAGGTAAGACTGAACCAATAATGAAACCCCTTTTTTGTGGAGCCTTATTACAGACCCATGGACATTATTAGAAAATATACAAAGTAGAAAATGGTTAAATTGGTTCTCAACTGAAGAATCTAGGACAGACTATTCAAATTCATTAATTACCAGACAGTATTGCTTTGTCAGTATGTAGTATTGGGACTATTAAGTCACACACTGGATACGCCTGGAAATAAGCTGCGTTCCTGTAATTACTAAACTGCTTAAATTAGTTATGTAAAATCCCGTTTAAAGACGACAACTGGTGGCGCAAAGTGTTGAGTCTCAGCACTGTGAAGCTGTAAGCAGCTGCAGCACGAGTTCAATCCCCAGCCAGGGAGGGTCCCACATGTCGCGCAGACCTCTCCCGTCTCCCCGCTGCTCCCCTCGGCAGTGTGTTTCAGTCAGTCTGCCTGTTCTGCTCCCCACTCTGGGGAGTCCTCTCACCCCACCCCACCCCCACCTCTGGCCTGCACCCCAGCTCTTGTATGCATAAAGAAATAAATCTTAAAAAAAAGACAACCCATGACAAACTGATAAATCTAGACAAAGAAATAGGATCAGGCCTGCTGTGGCCAGACTATGTTGACAGCGTTTCCCAGGACAGGGTCGGTGCCCGGCGTGTTCTCCAAGCCACATCACTGCGGGCTTCCCGCGGGAGCCCCACAACGCGTGGGCGCCCGTCGCCGCAAGGCCCGCGCCGCTGCGGACTTGGCCTGGCACCCGCAGCGCCCCGCGTCGTGAAGGACACGCGCGCCCCGTCCAGGGAAAGCGGCCCGCGGGGCCGGGTCATCGCTAAGGACGGACCCCAAGCGCCCAGTCCCCCCAAGCCCGCAGGACTCGCGGGAGGGGCTCCCCACGCCCCCCTCCGGGAGAGGAGGCGGCAGCCCCGGGGGCGGCGACCGGGCCTCGGGCCGCAAACACGCGCGCTGCGGGAGGGGGCAGCGCGCGGGCCTCCCTCGCCGCGCCGCCCCGGCGCCATGCCCGGTCCCTCCCGGGCGCCCTGTCGGCCCCTGGCCCGCCCGGTCACACCGGAGCTGACGTCCGTCCTGAGGGCCGTCACGGCCCCGACGGGCGCGCGGGCTTCTGGGTAATGTAGTTCCCCCTGGCCGGGGCTGCCTCGTCCTTCTGCGCAGGTGCGGCCCCGCCCACGCCCCGTCTGTACCGGAAACCGGGCTGCAGTTCCCTCGGCCGCCGGGGCCGCCGCCGGGCGGGCTCGTCTCGGAGGTGGGCGCTGGTGGGCGGCGGGGCCGGAGCTGCGCGGGCCGCGCCGTGCGGGTCGGAGGCGTCTCCTCAGGTCGCGGCCCTGGGCGCGCGGGACTGTCCGCGGTCGGGACGAGGCCCGGCGGGAGGAGGCGCCGTCGGGAGCCGGAGGGCAGCGCTGCCCCGGGGGCCGCCGGCCGACGTGGGTGCCCGTCGGGGCGGGGGCGCCTGTCACCGCGGAGAGGCCTGTGCGGCCTCGTGGTGCTGGTCCCGGGGCGGCCTGTTCCCGCCGCGGGGACGCCTGGAGGGCGCCCGGCCCCCGCGCCTTCTGTCCCGCCCCTTCCGCCGCGCCCCCTCAGCACCCGCCCCCTCAGCCCCCGCCGCCCCGCTCCCCTCAGCACCCGCCGCGCCCCCTCAGCCCCCGCCGGGCCCCGCCGCGCCCCCTCAGTCCCCTCAGCCCCCGCCGCGCCCCCTCAGCCCCCTCAGCCCCGCCGGCCCCCCCGCGCCCCTCAGCCCCCGCCCCCGCCCCGCCCCCTCAGCCCCCGCCCCTCAGCCCGCCCCCGGGCCCCTCCGCGCCCCCTCAGCCCCCGCCCCCTCAGCCCCCCACCGCCGCCGCCGCCTGGCGGGGCTTGAGGCCCGTGGCGCCGCGTGTCCGCCGGGTCCGCCGCGGCGTCCCGGAGCCGCCGGCCCGAGCTCCGAGTCTGGAGCGCGCCTTTCCCGCGCCGCGCGGCCGGGGGGCCGGGCTGCTGCTGCCGCGGGGGGCGCGGACGCGGCCCGGCCCGGGAACTGAGGCACCGGCGCCCGTCGGCCCGCGGGCCCGGCCTGCTCCCGCCGCTCGCGTCGGACGGAGCCTGCGGCAGCGGCGGGCGCGGCCGAAGAAGCCGCGGGTTCGCAGCGGCGTGGCCTGGCGGGTCGCCCCGGCCCGGCGCCCCCACAGGCACGGCGCGCGCGTCCTCTGCGGGGCTTTCCTCCTCGGCCGCGGGGCCGCGCGGAGCTCCTGCGGGCGGGCGGGGGGGGGGGCTCGGCCACAGGCTCATTTCTGCGCGGCCCCCGCGGGCCTCGAGGGCCTCCCGAGCCAGGCGGAGCGCGCCTGTCCCCGCTGGAAGGCAGCGTCCCCGCCTGCCTCGCGGCCGGGGCTCCCCCGCGCCTTCCACCCTGCGGGGGCTGGCGGGCTGGCGGCAGCTCGGAGCCAAGGCCGCGTGTTTTAAGCCTGGCCTCCCCCGGCTTCCCCTCTTCACCCGCTGCGCGCTGGAGCCCCCGAGGCCCCCCTCCAGCAGCTGCGTGTCCCGTCAAGGGAGCCCGCGTGTCCAGGATTTTCGTAATGAGGAGCCACCTGCCCCTGATGGAGCCCGCTGGGCCTCAGCGCTCCCTGGGCCGCGCCAACTCCAGAGCAACAGACTAAGTTGCGCTCTCAGATCCCTGCACTGGCTGCTGGCACCTGGCGAGCCTGCGCCCGGGCTCATCTTACTGCACAGCTGAGGAGTATTCCACCGTGTAGACGGCGCCTCCTTAACCCACTCTCCCGCCTTTGAGCACGTAGGGTGTTTCCATAACTTGGCTATTGCAATAGCGCTACAATAAGCAGAAGAGCATCTATATCTCTTCAGATCAGTGCTTTTGCATTATTTGGATACATGCCAAGAAGTGGAATCATTAGCTCGTATGACATAGCTATTTTGATATTTTGAGAAACCTCTACGCTATTTTCCATAGGGGCTGAACCAGTCTGCATTCACGTCAACAGTCATGAGGATTTCTGTACATCCTCACCAACAATTGTTGTTTCTGTTTGTGTGTGTGTGTGTGTATGTTTTAATATGGCAATTTTCAATGAGTTAGGAGGTATCTCATAGTAGTTTTGATTTGTAATTCCCTGAGAGTAGATTATATTGAATCTTTTTTCAAGTGCTTGTAGACTGTTTGTGTGTTGTCTTTGGAGAAGTATCTGTTTAGCTCCACTGTCCATCTTTTGATTGGATTCTTTGTTCTCCTTTTGAGTTGTATGAGTTCTTTGTACATCTTGCCTGTAGCCCTGATCAGATATGTGATGTGCAAATACTTACTCCCATTCAGTGTGGTATGTTTTTGCTTTACTGATAGTGCCTTTTGCTGTACAGAGTCTTTTAGTTTGATGCAGTGAAAATAAAACTGTTTATTTTTGCTTTTATTTTCCTTGCAAATGGAGTTGAATCCCCAAAGACATCCCTGAAGCCTTCATTGTGGAATGTTTTGCCTACGTTTTCTTTTTATGTATTTAGTGTATTTTGGTCTTATATCCAAGTCTGTAATCAATTTTTAGTTGGTTTTTGTGCATGGTGTGAGAGAGTAGTTTCATTTTTCCATATGTGACTGTCCAGTCTTCCCAGCACCATTTTTTGAAGAGACTTTCCTTTCTCCATGGCATACACTTGGCTCCTTTATTGTAGATCAACGGTCCATGTCAGTGTGGGTTTATTTTGGGGCTCTCAATTCTCTTCCATTGGTCTTTGTGTCTGTTTGATTATTATGGACTTGCAGTCTGGAAGTGTGGCACCTCTGTTCTCTTTTTTGTCAAAATTACTTCAGCTATTCAGGGTCTTTTGTGGTTCCATATAAATTTCAGTAATATTTCCTGTATTTCTGTAAAGAAGTCGTATAGAATTTTGATAGGGATTGCATTGAGCCTGTAAATTTCTTTGGATAAGATGGACGTTTTGACTGTGTTAATTCTTCCCATCCACGAGCATGGACTATCTTTCCATTTCATCGTGTCTTCTATTTCTTTTAGCAATGGCTTGTAGTTTTCATTGAATAGATCTTTCACCTCCTTTGTTCACTTTTTTCGTAGGTACTTAATACTTTTTGATGCTAATGTAAATGGTGTTGTTTTCTTGATTTCTTTGTCTTCTAGTTTATTCGCACATAGGAGTGTAACAGCCTTTTGTATATTGATTTTGTGGTCTGCCACTTTACTGTGTTGATTTATTGTTAGTAGGGTCTAACAGGTTTTCTGTAGCTCTGTAGTAATGTCATCTTGAAGTAGTCATGCTTTTACTACTTTTCCAATTTGGATTCCTTTTCTATGTCTCTTGCCTAATTGCTCCAGCTCAGCTGTCTGATACTATGTTGAACGGTAGTGGTGAGAGAAGTCATCACTGTCATGTACCTGATCTTACATGAAAAGCTTTAGGAGCTTCTCACCATTGAGTATAATGCTGGCTGTCGGTTTATCATATATGGCCTTTATTATGTTCCTTCTAATCCTGTTTCACTAAGTACATATCATAAGTAGGTACCAAATCTTGTCAAATGCCTTCTCTGCATCTGTTAATATGATCATATGATTTTTTTCTTTCCTTTAATGACATTAATGGATGGATATTGAACCATCCTCATATTCCAGGAATAAATTCCATTCCACTTAGCCATGATGTATGATCCTCTTGATATTTTGTTGAATTTGGCTTGCTAAGATTTTGTTGAGGACCTCTGCATCTGTGTTCATCGGCCATCTCGGTCTGTGGTTTAGTCCTTTCGTCCCTACGCTCATGCTGCTTGGGTGAAATGTGACGTGTGGTCACTTGATGCAGTGAGATGGCTGCTGGGTTTAGGAGCTTCTGTCTGTCTGTTGGCATTTCTCTCAGCTGATCTGTATACTCAGGTGCACGGTGTGCTGTTTGATGTTAGGTTTTTTGGGCAACTGTTATGAAATTAATAAATGTTTATGAAATTGATAACAGCTATTGAGGCTTAAGATGGCAGACATAAAATGTGGGTATCCACTTTGACCCGCTGAATGTAGTCCCAATTCTCTATGTGTAAAGCTCACCACTTTATAATTAAGTTGCCGTCAAATCCAGTGACTGGTTCTCTAGTCTGCCTTAATTGAACCTTCTGCCGTTTCTGTCAAGACCACTCGTGATCTGAAAATTCCTGCTTTTTGCTTCTGTCACTGCCTCTCTGGTGATTTCTTCTCTTCCCCCTGAATGCTTGTGTTTCTTCTCATAAATGTCATCCACCCATGTGTTCAGTTCTGTGCCCCGTTCTTCATACTTCAGTTCTCTCTGAGTCAGCCCCGGTGATTTGACTGTCCCTACTGTTTCCATCCAGCTTGGACCTCTTCCCCGGGGTTTACACCATTGATTGAATCCTCCTTGAATGCTTTTTTTTGTAGCTGACCACAGCACTTCAAATCCAAAATGAAAACCACATCCCCTTTTTTTCTCATACACACGGTTTTATTTCCTGCCAGCCAGTGACTCAAAAATGAAGTGAAAACAGGGCCTCCCTGGTGGCACAAGGGATTGAGACGCAACCTATGAAGCTCTCTACAGCCACTGCAGCACGAGTTCAATCCCCGGCCAGGTAGCTACCCACAGTACGGTACAGCAGACCTCTCCTGCCTCGCCTGCTGCTCCCCTCAGCAGTGTATTTCAGTGGATCTGCCAGTTCTGCTCCCCACTCTGTCTCTGGTGAATCTTCTCACCCCTGTAACGCTGGCCTACTCCCCAGCTCTTGTGTGCATAAATAAATAAATGTTAAAAAAAATCATAATTTGTTATACCCAATACTTGGAAAACCATAGTGAATCACAATTACCAGGCTATAAAAGTAATATATACAAGTCCTCCGTACATGAAAACACTCAGCCATGGGATACTGGCTGCATTATAGCAATGGTAGATCCAGTTTCTGTGTCTTGCATGCACAAGGAGTCGCCAGAGTTAGGGCCTAGAGTGCCAGCCCCTACTGTGCCAGCCCCTGTCACCTAGGGACAATGTGTGACGTGCAGGCCTGCATCAAGCAGGGCATTCACCCTTCAGACAGCCAAGTATTACCCAGTTCCATTCCTCCTCCCCCACTGCCCTCTGTGTTAGGGTTAGTGCTGTGTTCCATATGCCTACAAGTCTGCTACCACAGTATACGTAACGCTGTCCCTCTGCTTTGTTCTCTGACTTTCCCTTATGCCTTTTCCGGTTTCCTGTTAGGGGATGACTGTTAAACTGCAAATTCCACCATGTAACTTACTTTTTTTTTTTTAGATTTTTTATTTATTTATGCATAGAGAACTGGAGTGTAGGCCAGAGATGTAGGGGGTGAGAGGATTCACCAGAGATAAGAGTGGGGAGCAGAACAGGCATATTCCCTGAAATACACTGCTGTGGGGAGCAGCGGTCGAGACAGGAGAGGTCTGCTGTGCCATGTGGGTCAGCTCCATGCCTGGGAATTGAACTCAAGCCACAGTAGCTGGTGATAGCTTGATAGCACTGAGACTTGAACCCCTGCGCCACCAGGGAGGGCCTGTAACTTACCTATTTTTATTCCCTTGTTATTTACACCCTGTGGTTTAGGAAAGTATTTTGCTTGCTTGGGAGTGAAAATAAGCCTTTAGGCAATTAGGATGTATGCAAACTTTAAATAGGTTATTAGAGACATGTTGATCATCTAAGACTTTTATTGCCAGAATCAGGTTGTATCTGGAAATGCAAACTAACTTCATATTCAGTCTTTCTCCTATCTCACCTCACAAGCTAGGAGCACTTTAATTTGCTAACTGCTCTTTATTTCCTCACATCTTGATTTCTGCTACTGCCTCATACTCATGAGAACATGTGGTTTATGGAATTGCTAAATATCTTTGGATGTTCAGTGAAGTACAACCTGATAACAGAAAGTGTTTTTTTTTTCCTTCCCTCCCCACCCCCACTCCTTTTTTAACCCCAATCTACACTAAACTTGTTTTTGTCATAGTTGCTTTAGGACATTATTCCAGATGTATGTCTATGCTTAAGTCAGCAAACTAGATTATAAGCTGCTTTGAGGACTAGGTTTTTATTCATCCTTAGCATCAAGGACATTTCCAGATTTATAAGGAAAACTATAAAAGTACTTCTAAGAAGTAATGAGTTAAGACAAGTAGGATAATTCTACTGTGGAATCGCTTTTGTACTATGTAGAGTACCAGTGATGGCTGCTTCCTATACAAGATAAAAACATACAAAATTGAGCTCCCAGTCACGTCCTATGCTTCTGACATAGGCTGATGCCTTGAATTGAGAAATGTTCATTACAGGAGATGTTGTCATTTGAGGACGTGGCTGTGGTTTTCACCTGGGAGGAGTGGCAGGACCTAGATGATGCTCAGCGGACTCTCTACAGGGATGTGATGCTGGAGACCTACAACAGCCTGTTGTCCACGGGTAAGTAAAACTGCCCTGTAATAAACAAGTGAAAGCACTGTTTTATCTTCATTGATAAATGTACAGCTGTTTATGAAATTAATGTTATTTAGTTCAAGATGGCAAACCTGGAAGGTGAGGGTGTTCACCCCTGTCAGAGCGCCACACCAGCCTTTCATTGCTCAGCTCTTAAAGCTGTGCTGTTGTTGTCTTCAAAGACTGAGACTTAAGAAGTTTTGTCTAAAGTCAACATTTTCTCTTACCAACAGGGTTTTGTGTTAACAAACCTGAGTTCATCATCAGATTGGAGCAGGGAGCAGAGCCATGGACTGTCAAGGAACCCTCAAACCAGAGCCTCTTAGGTCAGTCACTGCATACTGGGCAGGGAGGCTGGGGGGAGGAGAGCCCAGGACTTCTCGGCCCTACTGAGCTATTTCCCCCCATATCCAGACCTTAGAATGGTTGGTCTTTGTGTATGTGATTCATTCATTATCTGTTCTCCAAATATGGCTCCCTAATTAATCTTCCCCTACTTTTATAATGGTTGTAAGTATCCTTCGAGTAACTGGCGTGGCGTGCAATCGCTAACTACCTTCCCCTAGAAATGTTTTTTGGTTTATCACTCTCTGGAGTCGCAGTTTTACTCCATTCTTAGGGACTGTCCTTTCAGGCATTTACTCATACATTGGTTTATTCTTTCAACATGGTAATGGTAAGTTGAGTGGATAACAACAGTAATCAAAGGAATGTGTGTCCCCCCCTTTTTTTTAAAGATTTATTTATTTATTTATACAAGCACTGGGTACAGTCAGAAGCGCAGGAGGGTGAGAGGATTCACCAGAGCCAGAGCAGGGAGCAGAACAGGCAGAAAGACCGAAGCACACTGCTGAGGGGAGCCGCGGGCAGCAGGAGAGGTCTGCGCGCCATGTGGGACCCTCACCCAGTGGCCAGGGATCGAACCGGCGCTGCAGAGGCTGTGGGCAGCTTCACAGCCCAGCGCTCAACCGCTGCGCCACCAGGGAGGCCCTCGCCCACCTTTTTTAATGGAGTTTATTTTCTGTGAGAAAGGGAGAGGAAGCAAATACACATTAATTAGATAAATGCCACAGTATGGCCAGGGTGAGAGAAAACGGACAGTATTATTTTAGAATGTGGGTTCAGAAGGGACTTTTGCAGAGACTGCTTACATTGTTGGGTATAAGGTTGAGATGACTTGCATGTGCAATCTGGAGTAGAGGTTGGATATCACTATTGGGGGTACAGATTAGGAATTTGTTAACTCAAACCTTGTTGGTTCCAAAGCCACTGAACCAAGAATTTCAGGTTGTGGGAACAGGGGCCTTGGAATCAGAGACTGAAGTTTGTGATGTCACCTTCTTTTTTGGAAATAGTTGGGAGAAAAAACAAAACAAAGAAAAGAAACAATGGACTCCGATTTAAGTTTAACTAGGATGCAATGAAACTCTAAAATATAAGCTAAAATCTTCAGATGCAGTGAATTTCAACTAGGAACATGTGCTGAGAAGTGGAGTTAAGAATACTAGGAATCTTAGTATCTGAGGAATGTGGGAAAAGTTTTTTCAAAGATGTTGAGTATACCCTTAAGTTGCAAAACCTAAATGCTTTAGATCATCAGGGAAGGGTTGCACAAAGTGATGAGCCGGTTTTCTGTACCTACTATGGCTCTGAGAAGCCACTGGTGTACGGTTTAGTTAGGGATTCACAGACAAATGAATGTGTCTTAGAGAAGGAAGAGGTTATGCCTTTGAGAAAACCCCCAGATGCCTGTATATGTTCCCTAAGGAGAAATAAACACTAAGCAAATGTAGATGCAAAGTCCTTGTCCTGGAGCCAAAGTCCTGCTTAAGTGACAGAAATGGCTCTCCTTAAGCCTAGTAAGAAGCTGATCAGGATGATCATGCCATTTACAAAGTATGTTCTGATTGTTCTGAAAAGACCTGCTCAAGATGCACAGTTACAAGAGAAAATATAGAGAAGGAATAGGATAAATAAATGCTAGGTGGAAAGCTCTCCATCAAAATCTCTACCTACAGTGTAAGTCAGTATGTTGACCAAGTATACCCTTATGAATTTAAAAAGTAAGATATTAAATCAGTGTTTTTCATACCTTTTCCATCAATGTGTTTGACATTAGAAAATCTATTAATGTAATTTCATACCTTCATTTATTATGTAAAGGAATCATTTGCATCATAATATTAATGCCCTTTTTTTAAAAAAAAAAAAATCTTGTCCTAGTGTGGGAAGAAACTCCTTTACCTTTATATCAGAAATGCTTAGATGCCTAGATGTTGTTTATGGAATGGTTATTTTTATCTCATTTTAGATGTCCATACTGTGGATGACCTGATTAAGACCAACCAGGAAAACCAGGGCAGGCATTTGTGGCAAGTTCTAATCGCCAATGGCAAAACATCAAGTAAGGAAATAATTGACTTAGGAAAAACACTTAATTTGCATCCAATGTATACCTTGAATTTGAGTATAAATAATGGCATTCATTCAGGAATGATGCCTGTAGAGTTTCATACTTGGAAGAACATGTTCTTCCCTAGTGAGCCTGATGAGATGCATGCAATAGAGAAAATTGAGAGGCCTAGTGTAACTAGAAAATGCCCTGGATATCCCGAGTATCCTAGTCTTCATCGTATGATTCAAACTTTGCAGCAACCTTTGGAATTTAGTGGAGAAGGGAGAGACGTCAACAAAGAAACCATATTTTTTACCCATAGAAGGGATTTGATGGGAGAGAATGCCTGTCAATATAAGTGTAGGAAAGGCTGTTATATGTCAGCTCTCATTGCCCAAGGTAGAGCTCAGGTAGGGCAGATACACTATGCATGTAATGAATGGGAATCATCCCTTTTTGAGAAACCAACACATTTGAATCTTCATAAAGATTTTGAACACTGCAAATGTAATCAAAGTGGGGATTATTTTGGAACAAAATTAAACCTTACTCAGCTTCAGGAAGTACCACTAGGTGAGAAAGTTTTTGACTATAATACATGTGGGAAAACATTTTATAAATTCTCTTTCCTTACTCAACATGAGAAAATACAAGCAGCTGATAAACCTTATGAATTAGGGAAAATGTCCGATAATTCAACCCTCAAAAGATGTCAGAGAACTTGGACTGGAGAGACACCCTTAGTGTCTAAGCAATGTCAGAGAACTTATTTCTGGAAGTCAGGTCTTACTGAACATCAGCAGTCTCAAACCATGGAGAAGACTTATGAATGTAGAGATTGTAGGAAAGCTTTCTGTCAGAAGTCAGCCCTTATTGTACATCAAAGAACTCACACAGGAGAGAAATCTTATGAATGCAGGCAGTGTATGAAATCTTTTCACCGGAAATCAGCCCTCAGTAAACATCAGAAAACTCACACAGGAGAGAAACCTTACGAATGTCGTGAGTGTAGGAAAACTTTTTATTGGAAGTCAGCCCTCACTATTCATCAGAGAATCCACACAGGAGAGAAACCTTATGAATGTATAGAATGTGGGAAAACATTCTGCCATAAGTCAGACCTTAATGTACATCTGAGAAATCATGCAGGAGAGAAACCCCATGAATGTCAAGAGTGTGGGAAATCTTTCTACTGGAAGTCAGCTCTCACTGTACATCAGAGAACACACACAGGAGAGAAGCCCTATGAATGTCAAGAATGTAGGAAGATTTTCTCCCGGAAATCAACCCTCACTGTACACCAGAGAACTCACACAGGAGAGAAGCCCTATGAATGCAAAGAGTGTAGAAAGTCTTTCTACTGGAAGTCCGCTCTCACTGTACACCAGAGAACTCACACAGGAGAGAAACCTTATGAATGTCAAGAGTGTAGGAAAGCGTTCTATCGGAAGTCAGCCCTCACCGTACACCAGAGAACTCACACAGGAGAAAAGCCTTATGAGTGCAAAGAATGTAGGAAAACTTTCTGCCATAAGTCAGACCTCAATGTACATCAGAGAACTCACACAGGAGAGAAATCTTTTGAATGTAAACAGTGTGGGAAATTTTTTAATCGAAAGTCAGCCCTTACTAAACATCATAGTACTCACAGAGAGGGGATACTGTACGACGGTCAAGAGTATAGGAGAACTTTCGATCCTAAGTCAGACCTCACTGCACATCAGAGAACGCACACAGGAGAGAAGCCCTATGAGTGTCCAGAGTGTAGGAAGTCTTTCTCCTGGATGTCTGCCCTCACCGTACACCAGAGAACTCACACTGGAGAGAAGCCCTATGAGTGTCCAGAGTGTATGAAAACTTTCTCTCGAAAATCACACCTCAGTGTACATCAGAGAACACACACAGGGGAGAAACCCTATGAATGTCAAGACTGTAGGAAATCTTTTTACTGTAAGTCAACCCTCACTGTCCATCAGAGGACCCATGCAGGAGAGAAGCCCTATGAATGTCAACAGTGCAGAAAAACTTTCTCCCGGAAGTCACACCTTAGCGTACATCAGAGAACCCACACAGGAGAGAAACCTTATGAATGTCAAGAGTGTAGGAAAACCTTTTCCCGGAAGTCAGCCCTCACTGTCCATAGGAGGGCCCACGCAGGAGTGAACTAAGTAATGTAGGAATACCCCACTGTGCACAGGAGAACACACAGAGGAGAGGAGCACTGTGATCATAAGGAGTGTGGGAAAACATCCTCCAGGAAGTCCGCCTTCACCCTACGAATATTAAATAATGTGGGAAAACTGTTGTAAACCACCTTCCCAAATAAAGAATTCACGTGGGAGTGTAATATGTTTACCAGAGAACATTATTTTCTGTGGGGCTAATAACCTTCATTTCTCTGTCTCCGTTTATCCTTTACTTGAGCTTTTTGCAGAGTGAAAAAACTATCTCTAATCTGGTCCAAAAATGGAGTTGTGTGCATTCTTGCCAGATCTTCCATGTCCTATGATCCTGCTGTACACATGATGCCTCCCCACACCCAGCAGCATTAGCCTTGGGAGCCATAGGGTGAATATGGCAATGTGTGATTTAAGGCAAATGATTGTGGGAGAGCAGTTTTCAAAACTCTACCTTAACAATCTCCGTTTGTACTTCTCTTGCCTGAGAAATATTTCAGCTGTTGAAACTGTTAGTGTGTGGTCTATTACAATGTTAGCATTCTTTATGTTTGCTTTTTGTAAAACAAACAAAGAGCAAAGAAGCCATGCTGTCTCTTTTCATTGTTAAATCACTTGTGGGCAAATTCAAAGCAGTAGTAAGAAACAATGCATCAAATAAAGGAATGACTTTATCATATCGCGACAGCTTGTTGAACACTGATAATATGCTAAAACTTTAGAAATACTGTCAATGTATTTAGAAACAATAGAAATTATTAGAAAAGACTGTGCTATTACATTGCCTCATGTCCCCTTGAGGCAATCACTATGAGAGCAGCACAATATTTAACATTCCTAGCAGCTAACTCACCTTTACACAGTGAACATACAGAGGCAGTTTGAAAAGTTGGTATCTGTGAATTTGTGTTTAAAATAGAGCTGGGAGGGCCTCCCTGGTTGTGCAAGGGGTTAAAATGCAACATATGAAGCTATCCGCAGCCAGTACAGCACAAGTTCGATTCCCGGCTCTCCAGGGAGCTACCCACATGGTGCAGCAGGCCTCTCCTAGAAAAGTTGAATCATTGTGGTCTTGAGCACTAGGTCTTTGGTAATAAGATTAAACACTTGCACAAAGTGAGGACCAAGTAAGGGAAGTAGAAGCCCCGGTCCAGGCCCACTGTTCTCCTTGGAGCAATCCAGCCTTCCCAGCCATCCCCAGTGTCCACAGAGTCAGGGTTGTCCTAGGTTGCCCACAGCCAAAGCACCTGAGCTTACCCTGGATGTCAGGTGAGATTGTAGAAGAGGATCGTCACAAGGATCTCTTGTCTGAGCCAGCCAGAGTGGAAAAGGAGCGCTGCCTGGCCTTAGGGTTAGGAAAGCATCAGTCTGTGCCCCACTGTCAGCTGCTCCTGGGCTCCTGCAGGGAAACAGTGACAGGAGCTGCTTCCTAGACATGGGTTGGCAGCTACAGCTCCCCAACTCAGTTAATACTGTCCCCAAGGGCCTTTCAGATGAAACAAATAGGGCACCGCTCACCATCTTAACCACCTCCCTGGCTTCCACAAACAAACAGGAAACTCCAAATACCAGATACCCAACAAAAATACCAAATGTGTCCCAATTCCCACTCACCCAGGCCTGACACACCACAGGAGCCCCAAATTGAGGGACACTCATATAATCTCTCCCAAACTGAGGAGAACTGGACTCCCTCCCTGAGGGGGGCTCCGATTCCTCCCAAATGTCTGCAGGCGAGGGGCTCGGCATGCATGCCAGGGGACCACAGTTTTCCACCCGGGTTCCACCTCCTACAGGACGAATCCAGGGGGATGTGAGAGAAGAGAAGAGCTGTGCCTCTCCCGAGGAGGACTTGGGAAGTTCCCAGGAGGAAAAACAGCCAGAGCTGCTGGGACTCTTGCTCCCCCTGGAGAGAGGGTGCTCCCTCTGAGTACGGGGGTCAGGACACCACCCGAGATACCACCCAGGATGCTCAGGCTCCACTCTATTGGCAGATGGGGAAGGCCTGGCACGCTGCCGTGGGCTACTGCTCCCTCCCTGGGAAGGCAGAGTTGGGACTGGCAGAGCCCAGGTGGCATCCAGCTCCTGGCTCTGGCCCTCCCAATTGTGAGTGAACGACGGCCTCAGTTTCCCTCAGGCAATAGAAGGAAACAGAAAGTAGTTTAATTTGTTGAGAAATGAGGAGGGCAGCAGACTCGTGTGAAAGACCACGGTCCTGCTCTTTGGGCAGAGGGCAGGGGTGTTTCTACCAAGGGGGACAAGGGGAAGACGGGTGAGGGTCTGCAAAGGGGAGAGGGAAGGGCCCACACTGAGTCCAGTGGGCACCAGCTTGCTTTTTTCAACTCCTTGGATGCAAGAAGGCAAAACCTGTGAAACAAGGGCAGAATTGCAAGAAATATGGGAGAGACCATCTTGTTAATGCCTATCCGAGAGACTGCTCATGAGTGAGTTTCTCTGACACAGGAAAGACCTTCTTGATCTGTGCATGGGCCCCTCTTCCCGCTCATGCTGATCTGCCTTTCAGCCATGCCCAGCCTTCCAGTCATGACCCTGAGAGTTTCCTTGTCTCAGCACTTTATGCCTTCATGACTTCATGTTTCAACTAGATCTCACACGCGCACACACGCACACACACACAGAATTTGTTATCACATCCCCTTGCTAGACAATCTCACAATCGGTCCTTTCATTGCATAACAGCCAGGCACGCACGGTGAGGATTTTGGGCCTTGCCTGCTCACCCACGCCCCGTGCATTTTCTCATTTCCCACCTTCTCTCTCCCTGATGCCCAACATCACTTCTCTTCCCAGCTGTTCTCACATGCACATCACTGCCTCCACTCACCTGGTTGCCCCCTCTCACACACACACACATACACACTCGCGCATGCACACACTCTCACACGCACACAGTGCATTATTGCGCTCCAGAGGTAGCCACATGCCCACGCATAGTCCACTTTCTTCACTGAACACGGTCACAGTTGATGTGTCTGTGAGAGGGAGTGGACTTTCCTGGGTTGTCACTGAGGAGGTTCCCATCGCTGGTGACTGTGAATAAAGAGCCGGGAACAACTTCCCCAATCAAAGTGTTTGTGTGTCTTCCGAGTCGCTCCCCAAACCCCGGCCGACTCCTGCCCTGAGGCCGGACTCCCCACGCCCCGCCCCCCGCAGGAGGGCGGTCAGCGACTCTCTGGGGGCGGGGGGGGGAGAGCCGGGGTCTGGCTCCTCCTCGCGCCATGTCGCCCCCTCCAGCCGCGTCTTCGGGTTTGACACGACCTGTCCCCACCCAACGCCCTCCCGCCCCCGCCCTGCGGGGCCTCCCGGGCCTCCTGCCCGTCCCCTTGGCTGCCCTCGCCCTCCCCGCGCCGGCACCCTGGGGTCCGTCCCTGCTACCCCGTCAGCTTTGGGGGTGAGGTGGGGTGTCCAGGGGGGACGTCCGGCGCCCCCGGGCCTCGTTCTCCGCGTTGGCCCATCGCCCCTCCGGCGCCCCCACCCCGCAGCACGCAGCCCCCCTCGCCCGCTCCGCCCCGCGGCTTCTGGCCCCGTCGATCCCCGCCCACCCGGTCCCCGACGACGCCCTCGGGTCCCCCCACGGCCGCCCCGATCTCCGCGCCAGGCCGCGGGCACAGCGGGTGGGGACGCCGGGGCGCGGGGAAAGGCCGGGGCGCGAGCCAAGGCCGGCGAGGGGGGCAGCGCCCCCTGGCGGCGACGGACGGGGCGGCGGGAGGGGGGCGGGGGGCGGACTGCGGGGGAGGGGGAGGGGCCAGAGCTGGGGGCGAGGGGGGAGCCAAGCCCCACCCACTTCCCACCTTTGCGGGACGTGACCCCGCGTCGGCTGCCCCAAACCTCCTGGTCGCCTCAGACCGTCCCGGACACCGGCGGGGCCGGACCCCGAGGCCGGGTCTGCGGGGGGGGGGGGGTGTGTCTCTGGCCCGTCCCCCCAGGGGGCCGCTGCGGGAGGTGGGGGGGCCCGCGTCAGCGAGCGGCGTGCGCGACCCCGTCCTGACGCCCGGGGGATCCCGTGTCGTCCCAGGAATATTCTCTCCACCTAGAATGCAGGAGGCAGTCTTGTCAGATGCAAGAGATCGGGGTGCTCCTCTGGGGGGCGCCAGGAGAGACCTGTCCCTGCACCAGTCCCGGGTCCTCTCTGCAGGCAGGTGCTCCTGAGCGGCCAGTGTCAGTATCTTCCAGGGTCCCCTCAACAACGTCACACATCGTCTTTTTATCCCCGGCTGCACTTTCACTGACCTTTCTATGTGCCGACCTCGCAAGCGCTTAATGCAAGTGCAGCCGCCCCCCCTGCTCTGATTCTGGAGAGCCGGTGGCCTGAGAAGGTCGGAATGAATGACCGACTGTGGGGCACTCCCTGGGACGCCCCGCGGGGGCACCGGGATCCCGGATTCCGGCTGGGGTCGGGGGCACTCAGGTGAGAGTAGCTTTTAGATTTCCTGTGAGGGAGACTCTGGCCTGCGCAGCAGGATGGGGGTACACCCTGGACAGGGGGCAGGAGCGCTCAGAGACCCAGTAGAAGTAATTAGGAAGAAAAGTAATTAGGAAGAGCAGCCGAATGTCTGATGCTTCAGCTAGAGTTTAGTCAGCAGCGTCCCAGCTGCTCTTCCTAATTACTTCTCAGGTCCTCAGGTCACGTCTCAGAAACTGAATTACTATTTATTTTATTTCTTTTTCTTTTTTTTTTAAATAGAGGCATGTTATTTATTTATTTATTTATTTATTTATTTATTTATTTGTTTATTTGTTTGTTTTGTTTATACAAGCACTGGGCACAGTCAGAAGCGCGGGAGGGTGAGAGAATTCACCAGAGCCAGAGCGGGGAGCAGAACAGGCAGAAGGACCGAAGGACACTGCTGAGGGGAGCCGCGGGCGGCAGGAGAGGTCTGCGCGCCATGTGGGACCCCCCTCCGGTGGCCGGGGAGCAGCCGGGGATCAAACCGGCGCCGCAGAGGCTGCGGGCAGCTTCGCAACCCAGCGCTCAACCGCTGCGCCACCGGGAGGCCCTACTATTTATTTTAATACAGACACACACATATATATAATATTCCAAATGCTGACCCCTAAATCCAGAGTCCCCGCAGAAAGGCGACACCAACGTGTTCTCTGCCCCGAAAGCGCGAGGACCCCTATCTCAGCGGGTTCTTGCCTCCACGTCATTCCGTCTCCCCATCTTCAGGGCTCTGACGTCACAAACTCCCGCTTCCTGCTCCCCCTCTGCGCGGCCCCCCCACGACTCTCCGGGCTGCGTCCCCCCTGGCCCGGCCGACCCGCCCCTCGGCCGCGGCTCCGCCCCCCCCCCCGCGCCTCCCGCCGCCCCGCCGCCCCGCCCTCCGCGCCACCAGGCGGCGCGCGCCCTGGATCCCCGCGCGCCTCTCCTTGCTCGGCCCCGCCCCCTGCGTGTTAACGTCACGCCCCTGCGCGCCGACGCGGAGCGGCGGCGGGGGCAGAGGTGGCGGAGCCGCGGACTCCAGGAGCGCCCGCCCCGGCGGAGCGGGCCCGGGCCGAGGAAGGAGAAGCCCCGGGGCAGCGCGCAGGCGTGAGGGGAGCGCGCGCCGCCTGGTGGCGAGGCGGGGAAGTGCGGCCTCGCGGGGAATCGTGAGGAGGCGCTGGGGCGGGACAGGCCGGGCAGGCGGAGCGGGACGCCCCTGCTCTCACTGTGGGGGTGCAGCGGGCTTTGGGGGCCTCTGTGG